TTTTTACCGAATCGACATGCTATTGATACCTATGTTGGCGAACCAATTCATTCACCAAGACTAGCACGTGATAAAATTACACCTGAAATCATTGATAAATATCATGGAGAATATATGGAAGCATTAAAGCGGCTATTTGATACATATAAAGGAAAGCATGGCAATGCCAATGCAACAATCAGATACGTTAATGATGATGAATGAAACTATGAAATTATGGATGCAGTCAAAAAGGATATTCGTTGCAATTTCTGTGAAAAGATCATGCGTATATCAGCAATTGACTCATTTTTTATAATAATAAGTGTAAAATGAATCGTAGGTTGATCAATGTTGGAACTAATAAGAGGCAGTCGTAAATTCTGTTCCTTTATGATAATGATACGATACATGTTTTTACAGTATCGATATCTAATTTGTTTCTATTTCAGCTTGATAATGTGGTTTCTTGTTATCGCTCGTATAAATATTACATATAATTTATGATGTAGCTTCATCAAATAGTCGAGTATAAATCATTTGCTCTAGTTTAGAATATACTGAACGATTTTTAGAAAGTTCTATTTCAAGAAATAATGGTACTTTCAGTCAAATGAAATCATAGTGAGTACCCTAAACGCTCTCATGAAAAAATCATCATTCACAAAACATTTTCAAGTTTTACCTAGATTCTATGGAACCGAACTGCGTGGCTTCATTAAAATGTGTGCTTGAAAACAACGTTATTGTTTCATTGAGATTATTGTTATTAACGTATTAAATTTGTATCATTCATAGAATTAAATAGTTTTCTTCAGCTGCAAAATGATGCCTCGAAAGGAAGATGTTTAGTAAATGTAATTCTTAATGCATTTTATTTTGTTTTAGTGTTGATTACTCGAGTATCTGATGGAAACTCGGATAGTTTACAAATTAGTGAATAAACTTACATCAATCGATAATGTATTTTTAAAAACTCATGCTAAGATAAGATTGTCTTCTTAAAGAATTTTTTTCTTTTGTATGAAATAAGAAATTAGTGCTTTCTCTTTGAAGAACATATAACGTTATCTTAATAAAAAAAAAAGACTTTATTTCATAAAAGACATTCTATATGAATAATTTCCATACAAGTCACACACATATTTTGTTTTTCTAATCTATGTACGCATAAATTATAATAAAAAAAGTACAAACACTACTTTTTAAAGAATTTGCGAATTAGTATGAATATAAAAAAAGAAGAACAATTGATTTTATTTTCGATTATTCTTTTTTCCTAAAAATCCCTGAGTTGGTTTCCGGTATTTAATAGGTACAGATGATCGTTGCTGGCCATTCATCGTACCTGTACCTGCTTCACCTTCGCTTTTGCCCGAATTATTGCTTTCATCTGATCCAGAGGGAGTTGTATGTCCATTCTCTTGAGGTGGAAATGAAGATCCTGTGGGATATTGAGGAGGAACTTCACCAATTGATAATGTATGAGTGCCACCAGCTGGTGAAAATGGAGGTGAAACAAAACTCATACCAGCTGGTGTTACTGATGAATACTGTCGTCGTTGACCTATTAGCCGTTGAGCTTGTTTTAAAATTAGTTCTGTTTGTGGTCGATCGTGTTCGAGTAAATCGATTTGACCTTCACTACGATCATCAAACCACATATGATCACTGAATGGACTATCAGTATTTGAGTACGGAACAGAAAATGTTGAAGTATTAGTAGAACTTGTCGTTGACGATGATGATGACGAAGATGTTGATGAAACAGGTGAAGGGGTTCTGGGTTTCGGAGGACGTGGTGGAGATGGTGGTCGTGGTGGTTGAACAATAACAGGTGGTGGTAGAGTAGGTAACTCAATCGAAGCCATAGTACTCGCATCACGTTTTTCAATAGCTGCTGGTGGTTGTATTATAACGGGTGGTTGTGGTATGCGTGGCGTCGAAGGTGGTGACGGACTTTCACTTGCATCAGGTGTACCAATGCTATGATGAAATGTAGTAGGTAGAGGACGAATAAGATCTTCTACTGGTGTAATAGAACGTGGCGTTGTAGGTTCACTTTCAGATGAAATTTCTTGACCTAAAGTTATGCAAACAATAAAATAAAATTGTTCTTCATTATAATAAATAAAATAAAAATGCCTGTTATTTCTGGTGTAACAGGACGTGGTTGATGTTTATGTGGGGCTGGTGATTGTGGTGGAGTTGGTTGTGGTGTTGCTACACCATTTTCTTGTGGCCAATGATGATTGTGATCAACTAAAACTGTTGTTGTTGATGTTGTTGGTGTTGTTGTACGTGGTGGTGGAGCAGGTGGTGGTAATACATGAATACTTTCTCTTGGCGATCGATAACCAACCATTTGTGCAATACGTTCTTCGAGTACTTCACGTGTTAATGCTTGTATTAAATCTTGATCAATAGGTTGACCCATATCAATAAATAATTGAAAACCATCTTGTCCAAGTAAATCAAGTAAACGATCATGAATACTTCGATCATCACTACTTGTACTCGTTGATGAGCGTGCACTAATAACATCGCGATGTTGTGGCATAGGTACAGTTGTTTGTTGATTTTGTAGTTGACTCATAAAACGAGCAATGAGCTCCTGTTCTAGCCAATCAACAGCACCTGATTGTAATGTATCGTATTGTCGATTGCGATAACCTTCATCATGAGGAATGGTAGGCGGAAATCTTGGGCCATCATATGTTGGTTGATGATCATCTCGTTTTCCGTGATAACCAGGTATTTCGATACCTCTTCCATCGTCATCATCTTCTTCTTCTTTTTCTTCATTATCATCTAAATCGACTCGAATCGATTCATTTTTGTTACCAAAACGAACTTTTTTCGGCGATGGATCAACATCAACACTAGGTAGAATATGTGGTGTTAGTTTAGGTGCACAAGGTACATAATTTGGTTGAAAAGTACGTGTATCACGAATTTGTGGTGGACCAAGAAGAATAACACCATCTGGAGGTTTATAATATTCTGGTTCGTAGACAGGAGCAGGTTGTGGTGGTCTTGGTGATGGAAAAGATGGTTGTATAACTACTGGAGGTGGTTGTTCTATAATGCGACGTGGAGGAACAGTTACACATGGTGAAGGTTTCTAAAATAGAATAATTTGTAAATCTGATAGAATAAAAACTAAATCATGTGCACATACCAGTCCAGTATCTTTCACTGGTATCTGCTCGATTTGTTTTGCTTGTTTAGCTCGTTGAATAGCTTGTTGTTTTAATTTAAAATAAGGTTGTTTACCTTCTTTTTTAATTTTGTCATATAATGAACGTCCATAGACTGCTTCCATAAATACATCACTATAAGGTTTTGATGATGTTGATGTTTCTCTAGTGGGGCTTGTTGGTTTTCCTGCTCGTGTTGTTGAATGTCGATCGAAAGCTAAATGCGTTTTAGACGATGGTCGTTTCTTTTTACTTGCCGACGTTGCTGTTGCTACTGTTTTATTTTCATCATTTTCTATTTCGTCTTGTTCAAGTTTAAGTTTAACCTCTTCGCGCACTTGCCGTGTAACTTGTTTCACACATTGTTCAACAAGACGTTGAACACGTAATGATTCGTCTGTTATTGGTTTTAAAAGAGTAATCTCATTTTGACGTCGATGCAATGTTAAATAATTCTCATCTAATAAATTTTTTGCTTCATCTATTTGTTTAACACGTTCATGAAGATCCATATTTTCATTGATCGGTAGAACTGGTTTAGGTTGAAGTGGTGATGGAGGAATAGAATTATTTAAATATTTATCAAACGGTGGATAGGTTTCTTTTAAAGCATTGCCAGTAGTTGCCGAAGTCGAAGATGGAATAAAGCCATCTGACATAATTGATGGTGGTCGTGGAACAGGAACGAATGGTCGAGGATATGATGAATCAGGTGAAAGACCTTTTGTTGGTGAACGAGACTGAGACCGAGAACGTGAACGTGATCGATCACATACTGAACAAGCAAATGGAGATGATTGTTCGATATTGAAATGACTATTGGGTGGCTGCTCTTTGAATTTAACTGGTGATCGAATTTTAACTGTACGAGTATCAGTACTAGTCACACGGCTGGGGCGTTTATTTGATGATGCCGATGGTGATGTTGTAGGCTTTTTGTGTGCATGATGTTTCTTGGGAGATTTCATAAGACGAACTGGTGGAGAAGAGGTACCAACAAGTGTATCAAGAAAATGACGGTTTTGTTTTGGTGATGGTGTAGAATTTGATTCGAACGTCGGTATTTTATGTTCCCGAATAGGCGATTTAGACTTGCCTTTGCTTGTTTGTACAAGATCAGCAAGTTGTTTAAGTGCTTGTTCTTGTTGTTCTTGTACTTTTTCCATTTGCTTTATTCGTGTATCAACAGAATCATTGGCTGGTTGCACATGTGTAACAGGTACAACAACACCGCTACCATTCGTATGTGATCTCTGTTGCTGAATTTGATTAAGAACAGTATTCATTCGTTGTTCAAAGTCATTTTGTAATTTCAAAAATGGTTGAGCAACAGAAACAGCTACTGATGCAGCAACAGTTGCAGCAAGAGATGTAGCTGTTTGTTCACTAGTTGTTGTTAGATCATTATTTGTTGTATTTGAAAGTGATTGTATGGGTACAGAACGTTGTTGTCCTTGATTAACTGAAAGTCGTTTAGCTAATTGTGAACGTGCAAATGCAGCTTTTGACGTTATTGGATCTTTATCAAAACGTGTTATTTGAACATCAGGTGTTGAATGAACTTGTGATGAAATCGATGGTTTTGGTAAAGCTATTGGTGTTGATAATTGATCATGAAAATCTATTTTGAAAACAAAATTATAAATCGAAAATGTATGATAAATCATGATTGTTTACTTCTATCTATTGCATTTTCATTTTCTCGTTGTCCATTATCTTCAACGCCAACAATTGTTATAATGCCAAGTTCATCTTCAGTCGGTGGTGGTCGTTGCCGTCGTTCTGCAGGTGATGAATTTGATGATAGAGTGACGTCGATAGATGATTGAATTAAATTATCGTTTGAATTACGATTTCCACCTGATGTTAAATGTGGTGCATAGTGGATAACTTTTTCTTGTTTTTTCGATCGTGGACCTTGACTTGTAGCAGACGAGGGTCGAACTAATTTAATATCATCGAAATGACGTTTACCATTGCTAGGTGGAAGTGCTTCAATACGATCATTCAAACACGTCATTGCTACTATTGAATCATGATCATCATTATCAGTTATTTCAACTAATGGTTCACGTCTTTGTTGGTTAGGTGTGGTGGCTTCGGATTTGTTCGTATTAAGCAGAAAAATGAGATTATCGTCTTCCATAGAGAAACAGTTCAAAGGATCAACGATTTCTAAAATTATATATATATATATATATATATATATATAGAAAGAGAGAGAGAGAGAGAGATGTATGATTAATCAATTAGTAATCGTTCTTTTTTTGTTGGTTTTCTTTTTCTATTTCATAGTTATGTTCGATGTTTATTTTTCCATAGCAACTGGTGATATGAAGATTGCAATTTTTTTAAATGACTAATTAGTTGATAAAAATCAAGCATTTATTTTAATATAAAAAAATATTAAAACAATCAAGATTCATTAAAATAAAAATATTAATGGTAACATATGATTGAGAACGACATCTATCCATCGAGAAATGATCTCCTTCTCAGTATTTTAATAAAAAAATCAAAACGAAAACAATATATATATGAAGATTTGTCAAATGTTTCGATTTTAAGATATATTGTAACAGGATTTCATTTCAGGTGATTACCAGAACACTCTGTTTGCATCTTTTCCAAGATTATTGGCTAATTGTCGAACTACTTGATCATCATCTATTGAGTTTGATTGAAGGTTTAAGATCATGAGTGTCTATTACGATATGGTGAATATCATGATTCAATAGGCAAACAAGAGAATCAATGTTACCGTATTGTACTTTAATGCATTCACTAGATTTAATAATCCTGGAAAACGAATTTTATTTCGTGAAAGATTTAGAACCTCTAATTTCTATTTAAAATAGTTTGAATAAATATATGATCCATTAGTAAATACGAAAACTGTTTTCTTACTGCATTGATTTTTAGTGCATTAGCCAAACAATGGGCTCCTTCATCACTTACACCATTCTCTTGAAGATTCAGCGCTATGAGAGTCTGTATTGCATGACAAAAAATCCATATAAAAGAGATTATTCATGAAGTCGCCCTACATTATTATTTTCTAATGCATTAGCTAAATATTGTGTTCCTCGATCACCAAGCCCGTCGCCTTCTAGCATTAGCTCAGTTATTGCCTGCAGTAAATGATCAATATCAATAAGAATAATAGACAGAAAACTGATCTTACAGTATTAGTTTTTAATAAATCAGCTAAAAATTGTGCCCCCAAAAGACCTATTTTGTTACCACCAAAGTACAGAGTCATAAGCGTCTGAATGTAAGGATAAAAACATCTATGCGAACAAGAAGAACTTTATTTTACTTTATTATTCTGTAATGCGTCCGTCAGATGTTTTACTCCTTTAGAGTCAATATCATTCATCATAATATTTAATGTGGTAAGCATCTAAATTGATGGATGCAAGTTCACAGAGAGTAATATCGAATGCGAAAACATTTTTTTTACTGTATTATTTTGTAATGCATTCGCTAGATATTGAGCTCCTTGATTACCTATTTGATTCCACCGTAAATTTAATACCGCTAATGTCTATGCAGAAACATGAAACTAATTGAAGTCTACATGACACGAATACGTCATTTACCTTATTTTTTTCTAATGCATTAGCTAAATATTTTACTCCTTCATAACCTATATGGTTTACTTCGAGTGCCAACGTACTAAGTGTCTATGCCATAGGGTATAGACGAATATGAAACATCGAATTATTTCTTACTGTATTCTTTTGTAATGCATTCGATAACAATTTTGTTCCTTCAACGCCTATTGCGTTATATCCTAATTGAATTGTTGTTAATGCCTTTTTTCATAGGCAGGAAAAACTATATTATACTTAGACGAATAGAAAATATAACTATTTACCTTATTATTTTCTAATCCATCAGCTAGATATTGTGTACCTTGTTGTCCAATATGATTTAGATCAAATACTAATGTTTTGAGTGTCTGCATTGGATAATAAATACAAGTATCAATAAATCAATTTCTTTACTTCATTATTTTGCAGTGCTTGAGACAAATATTTTACACCGTCAGCACTAATTTTGTTTTGTCGCAGATTCAATATATTTAGTGACTATGTTATATAATTCAAATGAATGTAACTTATACAGGTAGTGTAGATCGTACTCACTCTATTATGATTAAGTGCATGAACCAAATATTCTGTTCCTTGAGAACCAATATTGTTAAACTCTAGTACAATGGCGCCAAGTGTCTGAATGAAATGTTAACAACGAATACAAAATATCAAGATTACATTTTATTCTATTCACCGTATTTTCGCGTAGTGCATCAGCTAGGTATTGCGCACCGTTAAAACCAATATCATTCTTTGCAAGGTTTAGTGAAATTAAAACCTAATTATATGAAAATAGTAAAGATGCATCTAAAGTCAATCTATCCGAAACCTTTCTTACTTTATTATTTTTTAATGCATTTGCTAGAAACCATGTGCCCTCGTCACCTATTCTGTTGTATGAAAGATCTAATGTGACGAGAATCTACGTTGAGACATACAAATCAGTATTCAATGGATGGTGAGAATTGTTGTTTTACTGTATTATTTAATAATAAATTATATAAACATGGTAATCCTTGAGTTTTCCATCGTAGATTTGCAATATTCAACATCGTGAGTGTCTACATCATAGTTTGAAGACAAAAATAACTTAGATTGAAAATGGTTCATTTCGTTTCAATTGTTAGAAAGATACATGAGAAAAACAATCAAGCTTCACAATACACAGCTGCAACTAACCTGATATCGATGATACGTATCGATAATTAAATTTAGTCGAGAGCAAACATTACGAAGCGACATGACAATTGTTAAATCATCAAGATTATCAAGAATACGATAAACAAGCTCTATAGGCAATGAACCAAGAGATGCATAGATCGCAGTCATTTTTGAAATATCTATTGTTTGAAAGATGGCTTCTTTTTCTTTGTATAGGCTTGTGTACTCTATGGCTTAACTTGTTCTGTGATCATTTACTTTTTTGGCATTTTCAACAGCTGCTAGGATTTGATACCTGTAGTAAAATAAAAAAAAATGTACAGGGTAGTACCTGAAAGTAAAGCAGATTTGCTTTTTCTTTCATCTTTTTACCTAGTGATTGATTATGCCGATGTGAGTAACCAACAAGAGCATTCTTCGCTGGTTCTGAATATATATTGAAATTCAAAAGACCGTTTTTCTGCTCTATGGTATGAAGATTGAAATAAAGAATGAAAACTACTCGATTAAATATGCCCGCATTTTCCAAACGAATGCATTCTAAGTGCTAATAAAGTCGTCAGCAGCTGTATATGAAAGAATAAATTACTGAAGGTCGAACTCAATATGATTTGGGCTTTAGAAAACTAGGCATATTGTGTCTAGCTACAAAAATCTTCGAAGATTTAAGCATGAGATCATCGGATTTGAATTTTTAATTTCGTATAATTTTCACCTATTTGATTTCAGGGATTGGTTTTAGTAATGTTAAAAGAAAGGAACATATCGGATTTGAAGACATTCGCAAATAACAAATGGTCTTGTAAATATTTTCAAAATTTTGATTTCATCGTATAAAACCTAGCGAAAACTTTTTTATTTGGGGTAGCGTGCAAATAAGATTTGATTCATATATTTCAGTTTAAAAAAGATAGAAAGTAACAATAACAATCAGCTATTATCATTCATCCAAATTTGTATTATGTTCATTAGATTTACAATAGTTTCATGTATTATCAGATATTTATCAATAACAGCCTCCCGTATCTGAGAATGATGCATTGCTATTACATAGACCTATGCTTTTTGTAATTATTTAAACAAGACTTCTCAGTAAAATATATCTATACTTTAGTGAAGTTAAAGTATAGTTTGTCGCCGTAGGAAAAAATCTGTACATACCAATTGATTGTGAAATCTATCACTATTACGCGATAACTCAATTGTCGGATATCACCATCTTTCTTCGATCATTCCCTATCTATGGTAAAGTATGATGCTATGGATTTTGACAGAAAAGAAACAGAGAATAAGATACTATTGATTGGTTGAAAAATAGAGTTGAGTTCTGTTTGTTACAAAAATAATAATCAATCACAAATTTTATTTTTGTCTCGAAAAATTTACATTATAGAAAAAAGTGCTAAAATCAATTTGAAATCTTTTTTACTAACGCTACAGTTCTATTGTGTATCTCAATATCGTGACGATTTAGAGTAATTACACGTTTTGAAATATCGATGCTTTGTTCGGCAAAGAATAGAGCTTTATCATAACAGTTCATATTGTAATGTATATGGGCTAATCTGAAATATATCGAAGCCAATAAGGAATCATTTAAAACAAGAGTTTGTTGATATAGTTGCAATGCTTTACTATAATATGAAAGTGCTTGAACATGTTCTTTCATATTATCATATGCTTCGCCGATATTGTTGTACAGACTAATTAAATCAGGATGATTGGGCGGTAGAGCTGACGTAAAAATGCTTTGTGCAATCTCATAAAATGGAATTGCTTTTGAATATTCACCCACATGATTATAAGCTAATGCAATACTACTATAGCAATTACCCAGATCGATATGATTTGATGGGAGAGTCTTTTGAAAAATTTCAAGTACTTTCGTATGATATTTAAGTGCTTTCTCATATTCGCACATCTTTTCTAATGTTTTACCAATATTTTGATAACACACAGCTAAATCAGGATGATTTGGTGGTAAGGTTTTTCGATAAATTGCAAGTGTCTTGTCGTAGAACATACGTGCTGTTGCATAATCATCCATTTTATCATATACTAGACCAATATTATGATAGGATGTAGCCAATAACAGATGATTCGGAGGTAATTTTTTCTCATAGATTTTCAATGCTTCTTTATGATTTGAAAGTGCTTGAATATAGTCTCCCAATTTAACATATATTAAGCCGTTATGACCCAATGAAGTCGCAAGATCTAGCTGATCCGGATCGAGTATACCTCGATATATTTTCAACGCTTTATCATGTGCTGCTTGCGATTTAATATAGTCACCCAATTTCTCATATACTAAACCCATGTTGTGATAGGTCGTAGCTAACGTCAAACCGGACGAATAAAAAACGCCACTATCGATTTTAAGTGATGTTTCATATAATTTTATTGCAGCTGTATAATCTCCTATATTATGTTTAATCCACGCTAACTGATGATAAATAAAGTCTTTTTCAGTGCTATTCGATGTTTCATTCAGTAATCGTGTATACATTTCTTCAGCCTTCTCAAATTTGCCTAATTTCAGAAGCAACTGACCCAAAGCATACCATCCGTTCTCTTCGCCAGTCTCTCTCCGGATAAGTTGAGTCAGTGCGTTGAATTGTTGATCTTGTTCACTTGTTAATGTGAGTTCCACTTCCCAAAGTCGATCATTGTGAAATTCGAGTTTTTTAATTTCACCAATACGAAAAATAGTATGCATAGAAAAAAGAATCTCTTGTTCTGATGATCTATAAAAACTAAGATCATTTATGAGTGCAAAAGGAGTTGAACAAATAGATGGATCGATTAACATTTTGAAGACAATACCCATTAAACCAAATTCAGTAATGGCACGACGAGCATAAATCTGTGCTATGCTTTCTTTTCTACTGCTAGACAAAAAACTATTAAACGATATCAATCCACCTTTCGCTTTCATCATTTTAGTAAAATCTACGTTCGATAGACCTTGACCACGATAAACAATAAATAGTTCGGTTGAATCTTTATCTTGTAATTGTTCTTTGTGTAATTTTTTAATATGACGATGTAGATCTTGCATAAAAAAACCCATTTTAATAATAGTATCAACTTCCATCATACGTAAAGATCGATTAAGCATAGGATACAGAAAACATTGATTAGTATACCACCATATGGCTTTTAATCGCTTGTAATTAGATTCGAATTTATCGATCATATCTAAATCATTTTCAGAAAATTGTGTTCGGCAATAGGCAGTAAATTCCTTGACAGTTCTTTTACTAAAACGTATTTTAAATAAACTTTCTTTCAATAAACTTGTATACGTAAATGATTGATCCAATTGATCTAGCTGTATTGTTGATGACTCAGCATCCGTCTGGAAAAAACTAAGTGGAACTGAATCTTGATCACATTGTCGTACGGCTTGCTCAAGTGCATCGCAAATAGGTAATATATTCATAAAAACACCTTTTATTTTTGACCATGCTTTCACCCAATCTACGTGGTTTGATCGGTCACCACAGAAAATATAGATCGAAGTTACTTGAGATTTTTCATGAATAAGTGGTACAATAGTTTGACCTAGTGAACCAGAAACAATCATAAAAATTTTCTCATTTTCGGTACTCTTGATGAAATCTGTACAGGAATCAATGTCAACGAATGTATTGATGACACCTACAACGCGTTTCAATTCATGTAGCGTATTAATGCTGTCTTGATTGTAATCGGTAATTCTTACGTCTAACCAGACGAGAACAAAATGTTGATTATTACATAACGATGCACTGAAACGAGGTACCGTCATATTATTGACGAGGGTTTGTGTATTGGTCGACATTTGGAACTCTAGTGTTTTCAAATGCACAATAGAAGATATTGTTGGGCGATTATTTTCTTTTATTCGTACGGATGAAATCGAGATTCGCCAGTGTCGCCGGTCTGTTTATTCTTTGTGAAATAAAAACTGCGATTTTATTTTTTTTAGAAATCATAATCAACACTCACAACGAGAATCTATAACGATGTAAAATTGGCAAGTTTCTTTCTACTCAAAATGGCTACATATCATAGGTTAAAATTTAGTTTTTCTATTTTTCTTATTAACAAAATGATTAATCGAGAAAAAAATAGATTGATAAACTACTCGAAGTATTAGATATTGTAAAGTAAACAATATTCTATAGGAAGAAAGAATAGACGGTATTTTTACAAAGATAATTTCCATACGAAATCTATGAAAATTTCCTGACAGAATTTCAGATTGAAACTTTTAGTTAAGAAACTTTTGTATTGCAGAAATGAACATGATAAGTCTTCCCTCTAAAAATAGAAAGATACTGTCAACAACTTATTTTATACGTAAAAGCTCCCTCTACATATCTTCATAAAGACATTGTTGCCGATTAAAAACTTGGAAAAAGACAGATATTTACGTTAGATGCTTAATTTAAGTATCGGTATTTTCAGGACTTGCTTTTGATAGAGCAAGTGCCATGTTTTTTTTCCTCGAATTTCTTTCTATAAAAAGAATCAGAATGAATCATAAGAAGTATTGACGTCAATAGAACAATAATTGATCTTGCTGCTATGGCTAATAGAAACAGAAATAACTCGGAAGAATAAATACTATACATTATTGTTCTTTATGAATCATCCGTTTTTAGATATTTGCATGAGATGTAATGTGTTAACTAAAACAAGAAGAACTAAAAACAATCGAATTATGATTGTGGCGAGATTTTCTGTTCAAGAATCAACAAAAAATAAAACTTTTCGAAAAAATTCGGCAATAGAAAGAAAATAATACTGACCAGTCTAGAGATTTATTTCTATAAGAGTAGGCAATTTTGTATCTTCTACAAAAATCTTTACGTATTCGATTTTTACGTTAAACTAATTTCGATGAACCATGTTTTCATATATTCGAAATTTTTATCAGTGCATTTTTTTCAAATGAAAGAATCATATTTTTAAATCAGCAATGCTTCAGAGTGAGAAAAAGCGTTCTTCACTTTCAGAATGCTATTTATTTTTGTTCTTCTGTACATACTTCTATAATTTAATTGTTGGTCTGACTGTGGCTGACTTTGTTTTTTCGTAAAAAGACGAAGAAATCATTATTACATTGTTTCATAATTCAACTAAACGAAAACAAGAAGGGCCGAAAAAAACTTTTCACGTTGTGGCAGCCGTTATTTTTCCTTTCATTATGTAACATTGACAAAGGAAAGAGGCGAATGTTTTAGCAGAATAAGGACTCGAAGTATTTTACTTTCGTTTGTGACACTTTGCCTGTGCTATTATTTTAACAGGGTACTTGTTATTAAGAAAATGGCGGTGTCAAATTTAGTCTTCAAATGCACATTAAAACAACAATCCTAAAAATATTATGAAATTTTGAAGAAAAAAAAAACGGAAGTAATTTGTATTTGTCTACGTCAGTTGTATCACAGCTTTATTGCTATGACTAATTGATAGACATACTAAGTGCGTCGAATTCGATTCCATTGGGTCATGTTTTGGTCGCAAATAAAGGAAGTCGGCGCCTAGGTAACGTCATTTTTTTTTCTTCAGATCAATAACTTCTATTATAGAAAGAAAATCTCAAGACGTTTAATTGCTTCATTTAAGATGTCACTACTGTTTTTAGAATGAATAAGAATCTCATGTATGTAGGATTACAACTAAGTCTTTTAATCTGTCTTTGTTAGAATAGTGACATGCATAATTTTACTAATTAATAAAATACGTAGTAACGACTATATAAGTTCATTTTTTAGGCTTCGATGAACAAGGTTTTCTGTTATAAACCAATAAAAATGAAAACAAATATAATTCAATTTCGCGCTTTCATTCAGCACATCGGACAAAATAATTGAAGTTGACGTAGTTACTTTTTATCCAGTAATTTGAGTATTAAAAAGGTATTCAATGTTTGACAATATGAAGTCCAAAAAATAGTTATACTTTAAAATGTCTATGATATGTGTAACTGCTTTTCGATAAATCATGAACTTCGCCGTACACTATGAAAACAAACATATCATTTACATACATATTCATAGTTATAATAATATATAGTTGAAAAATGATTTCTCAGAAACGAGAAACTAATCATAAGAATTCATTAGGTATTGATTAGAAACAAGTAGAATGTTTTCGTGAATTTATTTTCTGATAAAAACAGTACTAAATTTGGATTATTAGTGCCTTATGCAGTAAATTTTACGAATTTGAAAAGAACTATTTCAGATTGTTTATCATCAAATAGAATTTCCTGCTTATAATTGTGCTCTGTCAGTGGAGTCAATAAATATGTTTATTTCAATTGAAAAACGGTGTAATTTGATTGAATGCTCGATGACATTTCATAATTATCTGTTAGATAAAATTAATAAAAATAAGTAAGAAATGTAAGACATCATAGCAACACTTCTAATCGTCGCTGACAGATAAATGGTGCAGTTTAATTGATTAGCATTTATTCGATTATGTAAAGATCCGTTTACTAAATCGGCATTATTTCATTGTCAAATAAAGACTACGTATCAATTATAAATGCTTCAAGCGTAAGTACCTCACAGTACATATGGAAATCGACTTTGAATAAACATAATGATTTATTATTAAGAAAATCTGATGCTTATCTAAACTAGTATTCAGGATGATGTATAACATTTGATCACAATAAAACTTGTATAGAAATAACTAAATTTTTTATTTTAATGCGTATAAATTTTATAACAAAAAAACTGTGTTTTTTCCACATCGATAAAAAACAAACAAAAACATTTTAACTCTATGGTTTAAACCATCCAAGACCCCAAGTACGTTTTGCTTCTGGTCCTTCATAATGTGGTGGTAATTCATCTAAATTAGCACTCCATAGTTCAGCATTCCTAAACAAATTTAAAAAATCGACTTATAATAGTCTTTTTATTTTCCGATAAAAATTTACTCTCGATGCAAGATCCATTCCATGACTTGTTCATGATGTAAATTTTCATAAGTACGATCTATCAATCGAGAACCGACATTGTGAACAAAACCATAGATAAATCTAGTAAAATAAAAAAATGTTAGATAGACTGTTATTTATGAAACATATGAATAAAATGTTCCTTTATTATTTAGCCGTTCAAGAAAGTTGCCATGAAATATAAAGAATGGATTTCGATCAAACTTTCGTATAGTTTTCGAATACACTAGATTGAAAAATATTGTACGAATTTCAGTTTAAGATTTATAAATCAACTTTTAAGATGTGAAAAAACTGCTTTTAAAAAAATCAAAACTCGTTTTGGTGAAATCGATTATTTTTTGAATGACTACTTGGAACTAGTCCTATAACTGTTTATCATATATCTATGGCACTACCGATAAAATTGTTTACCCTATGACGCCGCCTTGTAGTGTGGTAATAAATGCTGCCAATGGACTATGTAACATTTTAAAGGCAAAACCTACGAATGCCCCACCTGGTACACAATCATAAATGGTTGATTTATTACGATATGCTTGAATAGCATATTGACTTGTCCTAGAATAACATAGTTTGTTTACTAAATGCATTTTCATCTAATTCATTTTAATCATACATACATCATTGTTTCAGTTATAAATAGAACAATAATTGCTATTCGATAGGATTCTTTCATAAACTGAACAACATTATATTGCCGAAAAGCTCTCTAGAATAATAAAGAATATTGTGAATATTATAGATTAAAATCATAATTCTACATAGAGCAAAGCTCACCTCCTCACCTCAGCCGTTAGTCGATCTTGAAATTTTAACATGGACGTTTGTCGAATATAAACAGGTTTCATTTCTTCTTTTCGACTAAATCCAAATAGACAACCAATACCCAGAGCAATACCAGCACATTGCCAATCTTTTATTCTTGCATAGATCGGATATTGAGATAGTTCACTAATAGAAATTGCAAAAAAATAATTCGGTGAGTAGCTCCTGCAACCTTCAAAATCTACATCTGTACGTAGACAACACATAAGATAAGAAATATGAATGCTATTCTTGGATCTTCTACTCGTGCTAATTTATGCACAAGCACACACTTCTCATAGGCTTGACTAAATCGTTTTACTTTGGATAGGACATTTCTTATCAAATATTTTGATATATTTCAATATTAGACATTTTTATTTCTCTTACAACGAATCTTACTTTTTCCATAGAAATCGTACTACACGATCGCGTGGAGTTTCTTGTTGAAATCGAGCTTGTATCAAAGCTTCTAAATCTTCTCTTGTTAAATAATGTTTTCCTAATACAGATAACACTTTCTGTGGTGGAAATGTTGATACTTTATCTTTATCAATCAAAGATTTCGTATGATCCATATTTTCTGATAAATTTGCATTTACAACAAGATCTTTATTTGAAATTAATGGTGATGATACATCAGGATCTTTTTTTCTTTGACTGTCAGCATCCAAAATTGACGGATTTTTATCATTCGAATTCACACCAAATATATTCAATGGCCATGCTATTGAACGTGATAAAAATAAATAGATCATCTTAAAACAAATAAACAGTAAGCGATTTTTTAGCATCTTTATTATTAAACGTTATATATATATATATAATGTATCCCGAGTTTTTTTTAATTAACAGTGCTAGGAAAAAAATGTATCGAAAAAAAACGAAAAAAAAACTCCATATATTCATATATGTGCATGTCATATCAACGCACCTAATCGTAATATCTAACTAGGAATGATCATTAAAATATTCTTTCTTTTTCTTGTTAACACAAATGTCGCGCAGACTACGTGATGATAAAAAAAAATAATATAAACATTTGATTTAAAAGAATAAAAGCACAATCAAAGGGTTCTGCTTATCAAAATCCATGTGGTGGCGGTCGTTGTTGTTGATGATCGACAATCATGGACGGGTGATGACAGGATTGCACACCTACTGAAATTTCATTGTGTTGTGTCGAACGATGAATATCGTATCTAAAAATAATTAATTAAGATGAGAGAAATAAAACTAAATCAGTGTCAATTACTGAGTATAATCAACAGCATGTAATCGATTCATTTGTCTTTGAATTGATATGGGTGTTTGTTGATGTTTTTGCTGTTCAATAATACGTTGTTGTAATGCTTGTAGATTCATTTCCTGTGTTTGCATTGAAGTTTGTGAGATACATTGTGCTGATTGTTGATAATGGTTAGGATTATTATTATTATTATTTGTTGTTGAAATTACTGTTGTAAAATTAGCTGTTCGTTGTGGAGCAATAGGTGCATGTGGCGGAAGGCCAGGTACTATTTGTGGATGATGAGGATGATATGGCGTTGCTATTGGTTGTTGAAAAGAATTTGTTGATGACGGCGAAGGTTGATAAAATGTTGGTCCATTGGGAATGGTATACGGTGGTGGATGAAGATGATTGTAGGCTGCCATTGGAATATGAGGATTTATTATTTGCGTTGCATGAGGATATGGCATTGGTGATGGTGTTGTTGGCATTGATTGTGGATGAAGTTGAAGATGAATAAATTGTTCGTGAGAATCAATAAAACTAAATAGAAAAAATATTTCTTTATTTCTAGGGTTCAAGTTGTTTGTCCTCCATACATGTTGACGGAGAATTTCTTACTTATTAGTCATTGGTTGTTGATATTGAAGAGGTATAGATTGTATATTATGTATTGAGTTAGTTGGTTGATGTTGTGGCTGCATATGTAAATGATTCGGGAGTAATGCCGACGTTGGTGGGGCAGCCCATTGTTCAGTAGGTAATTTATGTTGTAGTGGTGGTGGAGGTGTAGCATAGTTCATATTTTGTACTGGATGAGTATTGAATTTCATTGATTGTTGATGAGATTTAACATTGAATGGAGTGACTAAAAATAAGAATAAATAAAATTCACGGCTAATCGATTAAACTAGCAGCCATTTTGTTTATACCATTGTTATTATTATTCATCGTTCCAGCCGTTTTCGTATAACCAGCTTGTTGTTTAATCGGAGGTGGTTGTTGCTGTTGTTGGCGAAAATTTGAAATTGGTGTTTGCTGTTGATTATTTAATTCATTTTTTGTTGATGGTTTATTATTGTTACGCATCAGTGTACGTGTCGAATTCGCTACAAGTGGTTGTCCCTGCCGAGATGGATTTTTCAAAGCACGTTGTTGCTGCTGCTGTTGTGGTGGTGGTGCTGCTGTCGGATATTGATATTGTTGTTTTTGCATTGGAGTATGATGAAAATTTCCATTTGGTGTTCGATCCAATATAATATCAAGTAAATGTGAGCCAAGTTGAGCAAAATGAGCCTAATATAGAGAATAAATGATTGTCTTCGATACAGTGCCAGAGAGTTTTTTTTTCTCGATGAAGTAAACTAATACTGTAATAATATTTTGATTAACCACTTCGAATATTACTGAACCAATTCATCTATTATGGTGTTGATTAAATGCTCAGCTACTACTAATAACAAAGTGCTTATACTATAATTCTGTTGTCTCAGATGACAATATTTTACTAAAGGAATTTTTTTTCTGTAAATTTTAATTATTGACAGACAGAGAGGCTATGCTGAATTTCGCTCTAGATTCAAGTGAATCGAAGAGTATTCTACTAGCAATATAATACAAACATGTTCAACTTTGCATCGATGCTTGCAATCGGATTGTGCTCTGCTCTATTCGTAATATGATTTTTTTCGGGCAACTTTACCAATAGAGAATATTAAAGAAAACCGATTATATATCTTCTCAAATCTAATTTATGTTTATCTTACATTTCCATCACATAATATAATCATTAAATCTTGATTTTGTTGATAGTATTGAGCTTGTAAATATTTTTGATGAAATAATTTTCCATTGAAAAAATGCGATGGACAACAATATTTCGGATGCACTGGTGCACCACATACTTCATTAGCAAATAGAATAGTTTCAAATCCACGCATAAATAGATGTGCCAATTGTATTGGACGAGTTTCATAATTAATTATTTGTATATGATCGTATTGATTTAAGAAATTAGTTGATTGTAAATTCATTAATGGCTTTGGTTGCAATTCCGTTATAAGAACGGCTTGAGAAATAAATGCCATTAATTCGTATGTTTGTAAAATACCTGATGTTGATGAATAACGAAAAAATTCCATATATATATAACGTAATATACATAAAAAAATAAGATAATCAAGTGACATGGAATACATTGTAGGTAAATCACAATAATATAATGATTGCAAAAATGTTTTCATTCGTAAATGACGATCTTCATCGGGATTTGTACCGAACCAAAGTTGTTCAATTGTATGTTTCAATGATAATTGTTCACAATGAATATCTGTTAAATAAGAACCATGTTCACTATTATAAGCTTGTTCACGTATTATTGTTTTAGAATCAAATAAAATCGAATAAACATATTTTCGTATTGGACGAAAAAATTCACATACACCTGGAATTGTATTGCACATTTCTGGTTCAATAGTTACAGGAAATGTTATTTCGTGCTAGAAAATTTTATTTATGGATAAGAGAAATAAAATCAATAAACATACTTTGTAAAGACATTGAAATATCCATGGCATCATTAAGCCTTGCTTGTGTAGATTAAAAGCTGTACGTATTACTTCGATATTCACACCTGAACAATTTTCGAATATTTGATTTTCATCTGATTTATTCACAGATACTAAAATTAAAGTTAAATGATCGTTCTATTGTAACGACTTGAAGCACAATTGATGATGAGATGAAAATCAAAAGAGCAAATCTCTTCGTCATGATTCTAATTAATCTTCTACAAGTGTAACTCATTCATTATGATGCGAGTTTATCTATATATAATCTTTGATCTGCTATTCATAGTAACTGTCACGTTCTCATGGTTATGCATCTCAGATTTGGTAATCACTCTTTGTTAAGATTTTTGTCATGCGTACAGGGAGAAACATCTGTCCAATTCTTTATGTGTAACCTTCATTGTGCTTGAAAATAAATTCGTACTGATTATAAATAAAAAGTATGAGTCAATAACTGAGAAGAATTTAATTATTAAAAGAAATTTTATAAAAGAAAGCATAGCTCAAACATCTTACCTTGACTAGAAGAAAAATTAGAGCAAATAGATGTTTCTGATGATTCCAAAGAATCTGTGGTTGATTGGCTTTCGCTAATTGCGTTTGAGTAATATTGATAAGAATCTATTAATAACTGAGTTTTCGTTTGGCGTGCTTCATTATCTGTTAAGTGTCTACATAGAAAATAGTAAGCTGATGTTAAACTACAGAAGTCTAGTTAAGAAAATTTTTACTTAAAAATTTGGCTAGCAATTGTGTCAAAATCAAAATCATTATCTACGCTTTGTTGGCGAATATAATCAACAAGACGTGGCATGAGTTGATCAACAGTTGAATTTATCGAAAGATTATTTCCATTAGAACGAGATTGCGTTGAAAAATGAACTGGTGATGTTTGTTGATGATCTTCACTGGCATCAAGTGTGCTATTGTCAGGAGAACACACGTCCACTTTTATTTCTGACGTTATTGAATCGATGACTGGTGGTGACATAGTTCCATTTGTTTGCTACAAAGAAAATTTTATTGTTTATATTTGGTTGTGAATACAGACTTCGTTCGACTTTGATTTACTGACTGTTTTCATCTTTCTTAAAACTCGTATAACATCAACTTTCGTTCGTAGACATTTGAATAAAAACTTACTGGTGAAATACGTTTTGATAATGGTGTTGAAATATCTTGATTACGAACTATATCATTATGAAAATGAATCAAATCGCTATAGGGTAAAATATGATTTCCTTGAAAAAAAAAACAAGAACGTTTATACTATTGAAATAAAGATATGCAACTAGATGTTTACCTAATAATGTTAGTAAAAGAGAAAATTGTTTAGTATCAAGAGAGAATTTATCTTTTAACTGATTTAATTTAATTTCCACAAGTGTTAATTTTCCTTTTAATGATAATTTAAAATTTTTCGAAGAAAAATATTTCAATAATATATTCTCATTATTGAGTTTTGGAGAAAATAAAAATTCAATGTCAGACGAAACAATGCCAATTAAATTTTGATTATATTGTCTAGCATAGTTCTTAATCTGTTCTTGATGTTGGCACTGACCATAGCCCCAAGTTTGATACATAATAAAATGAGATGAATTTATTTCACGTAAAATAATTCGGAAACATAATTGAAATGCTGGCGGTGATAACCATAATTGACGACGTGGTAAACCAGATTTATTTTGTTTTAAATGTTTAAATATTTGATTCACTTTTTTTCGATGTTGTAATTGTTCATAATACCATTGAGATTGTCCAGAACGATACAATGTACCATCGAAACAAAATATAAGACATAATGATAATTCTTGACATGTTTTAAGTAATGATAATACGTATGAGTAGAGATGTGACCATTCACCACCAGCTAACCAATCGGGATAAAAACCACCATAGAGACGTTCTAATGTTGTGTCGACATCGATTATAAGATGATTGAGCTTTGTTGATGAAGAAGTTTTAGAATTATTTTGACGCTGATTACGAATTAATTCTCCAATATCACGTTTATTAGAAGGCGTATTTAACTCAAGATAATCGAGTATACTATTTACGCCGATCATCATTCTCTAAAATAGAAGAGAAAGTTTTTCAAGAACATTCACATTTATTTTAGACTTGAATAGATGCATTTTACAGACAATTCTATATCTGGATTGAATAGTTGTAAATGATTTTTCTATAAAATTCTCTCTGTTATACTCTCTATCTTATTCACTTAATTCAGCGAACATAAATTTCATTCTTATTTCAGCTGCAAAAATCTTAAATTAGCGAATATACTGATATACGTTCGTTGAACGATATATTTCAAACGTAATATCGAATAGAATCAAACCATTTTTTGCATATGAAACAATTCAATGGTTTAAGCTTTTTTGTGAAGAATATTCCATCGAAACAAGTAAATGAACCATATAGGAATGTCCCAAAAAAGAGAAAACTAGAACAGTCGTGCTTCAAACGGCTAAAAGCAAAGGACGACGACAAACAATATGAATTTTATTGGTCCATTCATCCAAGTAAATTAACTCGGAATGTCGAGCGTCATCTATTATTTATGTATATGATGATATTTTATTTTATTTCAATAAGTTTATCTAAAAAAATAAAAATAAAAATTTCAATCTTGTTTAATTTTATGAACAAGCGACATGAAATCGATTCGTCGGGAGTTTTTTAATACAATTCGATGGAAGATCCTAGGTATCGTCATACTCGTAAACATATTCGCTTTTTTTCTTTTTCCTTAACTCAAATATTCCTTTTTTGTTTTTTTTGCAGATTTTGTCTTTCCATGTGATAGACATCAATCGATTGAAACTAAGTAATAAAGTAAAAATGACTTCAACTATCTTGTGCCGAGCAACTCGGCAAAACCATCAAATATTAGTTTATGTTATTCGTAATTCATCGTCTACATCCACTCAAACGTCTATTCGATGGAAACGTCTTGCGTATCAAATTGGTGGTGGTCTTTTAACTACTGGTGCTTTAGGTTATGCTTGGGCTCATTCACAAGCACTTCATGCGTCCGGTAATAAAGCACATTTAGTTCCATTACCATGGTCATTTAGTGGGGCATTCGATTCACTTGATCATGCATCGGTACGCCGTGGTTTTGAAGTTTATAAGCAAGTTTGCGCTGCTTGTCATTCATTGAAATTTGTTGCTTATCGTCATTTGGTTGGAGCTACACATACGGAAGCAGAAGCTAAAGAAATTGCTGCTCAAGATTTCATCAAAGATGGACCTGATGACAAAGGTGAAATGTTTACTCGACCTGGTAAACTTACCGATTATTTACCGTCACCTTATCCAAATGATAAAGTTTGTATTTAATAATTATTTTTATAGACGAATATAAATAAAAAATGCTTTTCTTTTGAATATTTTAGGCAGCTAAAGATGGAAATCAAGGAGCTTTACCGCCTGATCTTTCACTTATTACACTTGGTATGTAGGATATAATTAAAATTTATTTAAGAAACGTTTATCTTGATGGATATTAGAAGATCGTTGATGCCAATAATACAGACGATCACAACAGTAAAATTAATCTCATAAGAAAATAACTAATATTAAATTGATTCTGAAAGCACGACAATTTTCAGTTCTAGATCATAACATATATAAGAAATATTAAATAAACAAGGATTAAAGTTAGCTCATGTGGTAGTCCAAAGGTCGCTAAGAATATGTATTTTATGTAAAAATGTTTGGCATTTATTTGACGTGAAGAGAAAAAGATAAAATGTTCAACTATTTGTAGAAACCCGCTTTTATTTCTTTCTAAGAATAAATTAGAAATCTATTGCAATGAAACTTCATTGAAAATTGTCTGATGTACGAACGAAAAAGCAAATTTTCCAAGTACACAACAGCTAATAATGTGTGAAATAAAATTAAATCACGTCGTTTGTAAAAAAAAAAAGAAGTATGAGACTTCTATCGCATTTATACTACATCTCAATGTTGTGATACTGAAGCGACGAAAAAGAGCAGCTTAATTTTAAACAATACATTTATTTAGGTCGTGAGGATGGCTGTAATTACATATTCAATTTGTTGACTGGCTATCAAGATCCACCAGCTGGTGTAAAAGGTGAACCAAATCTTCATTATAATCCATATTTTAGCGGTGGTTGGATTGCTATGGCCAAACAATTATACGATGATCAAATTGAATATTCGGATGGAACAAAAGCTACCGAGTCTCAATTAGCTAAGGATGTTACTGAATTTCTTAAGTGGACGGCAGAACGTGAACACGATGATCGTAAACGATTAGCTCTCAAAGCAGTTCTAATTTTTGTTCCTCTGGTCTTCATAACTTATCATTGGAAACGTGTTAAATGGGCAACATTGAAATCACGCAAAATTTCCTTCTACAGACCAAAACCAAAAGACCATTAAATCATAAAATGACATTAGTTTTCTTTTTTTCTTGTATTATCCATATTGTCCCTGTAGACGAAGAAATAACTTTATATTGCCTCGTTGTAATCGTTCCTCGTTTAAACCGAAAAGAAAAGAATTATAAGCAAATCAGCGACGAGAGCAATACAGTTTAGTTAACTTTTGTGGCTTTATATAAAAAAAAATATAGCAAATATAATACGTGATTCGCATCTCTTGATTCATGATTTACAATTCGAGCGATTACTTCTTTTATTATGTTTGTATTTTAGATTGATTTTCTTGCTTTGTTTTGTTCAATGAAAGAAATCGTTTGAGTCGGAAAAATCTTAACTAGTAGAGAGTTACATTTTGAAAAAAAATCATTGCGCTCCGATCAGTATTCTATGATGATAAATATGGAGAACACCTATTCATACAGCTTCAAAAGAATGAGTCATTATCGTAATCGGGAAAGTTTTTTTTCCACATGCACGGCAATGGATGTTGTTAACAACGAATAAAAATATGGGTGATGACACAATCATCTTTTACTTCTAGAAAAATGCCGTGGTATTGGCCGTTTGAAAATGACAGTATGTCACTTGAAACTTATTCAATACATAATCCATCTATGATCGAAGGTATCAGTGATGATACAATTCTTTTAGTGCTCTTAACAATTAGTCTCATTGGCGTTTCAATTTACTATTCACGGTAGATCTATGAAAGATGAATAATATTCTTTTAAATCTTTTGTTTCAATAGACGTCAGCGTAATACAACTATTCACGCAGACAATAGACAGAATGTCGAGGCATTCCGCGAACGAACTCAACAAAATTCTCGAGCAGATGTGACCGATGAAACATCATCATATATTCGTCGACCAAGACATGATACATGTCCTATTTGTCTTACCGACTCATCTGTATTAAGCGTAGAAACGAATTGTGGACATTTATTTTGTGGTTTGTAAAATTTTGCAATATGTAAAGACCAATGACAGCATTCTGTAGTCGCTTGCTTCATTTAGGTCAATGTATTATCACATATTGGAAATATCAAATGAATTGGATGAGTGGAATGCATTGCCCTGTATGTCGACAATCGGTATGTATTTTTTCAAAGTCTTCTCAGTCACGCACAGAATGAGAAACCGAATCAGTTTCAAACAGTATGTCACAATGATAAACAAACCGGAAAGGGAGTTTACAACGAGATAGACTATTTTTGATAATATCATTCGAGGGAATGCATTAGAAAATTTCGAGTATAACATTTGAAATTGTTTAACAATTTATCCTATGTTCGTTCATAGCTTAATCATGAAGGAAAAACCAAATCTTGATTGAAATATTTCTGTTTCGTAGTTTAGAAAATATTACACATGCATTTTGAACTGAAAACATTTGGATGAAGAGTATTGCCGTTCTGAGCACTTGCCTAATCTCAATAACCTTTAAATTCGAGATATTTTAATCTTGTTAGGCACTTAATAGCATATTTAAAGCAGTTCATAAGAACAAAGTTTTCTATATTTTTAGATTACTGTTCTTCTTAGATGCTTCGCCGACGATGAAACAACCGCCGATAATGATATACGAGAGACAGTGATCACCAATGTGAGAGATTTCAATCGTCGATTTTCTGGTGCCCCACGAACAGTAAGAACGACGTTACACGTATATTTATTTGAAAAGTCTATTGTTTATTCAATAGTTTCGTGAATATATTTATGATATACCTGTGCTAATTCCTCATATTATTCGACAAATGTTTACTGTACAAAATCTAGCATGGACATATCGTTTACGAATTATACTCATATTGTTCACAGTAATTGCATATGTTCTTTCGCCATTGGATATTCTACCAGAAAGTGTTCTCGGTTTTCTTGGATTCTTTGATGATCTACTTGTTACCTTTTGTGCAGCACTGTATGTTATAATTATCTATCGAGAATTCTTGTCTCGATATTAAATGTTTTTGTAAGCTAACACGTTTTTCTTACTTATTCTCGACAAAATATCTAAAATGTATATTTGTTTTTCTTTTTCTGCAATTCATCATTATTATTATAATTTTCTACCTTTTGATGTTGTACCTGTTCTTCCGTCTATTTTATAGAAACAAAACAGGTATAATAAAAAGACAGACACAATCGATGGTACTTACATCGGATGATATTGACAAAAATCCAGAATTGATTAGCACTACTGATTATTTTGAAGGAATGTTAATTAATTTCCGTCCATTATTACTGACGGACGAGAAAAAATTAGCTCACTTTTTAGAAAATCTTGGTTCACAAACACGAAAATTTTCAACTCGTAATGGTTATGATTTGAATGAAGCTCGTGATTTATGTTTTGCAATAAATCGATATGATAAACTACGTCTTGTTGCTTTGATTAATCATGAGACAATCATTGCTCTATTCGAATTTAGTTTATCTATTGTTGAGAATGAATATAAACGCTTTTCAGAGAAATATGGTATCATATTAAATGAAGTAACAGATATGAGATTTGGTCCGTGTATTAGTGATCAATATCAAAATCGTCATTTTGGTTGTTGGTTGTTTGAAAAAGTAAAACCTATGTGTAAGCTAATGGGTAAAGAACGTTTAATACTCTGGAGTGGTGTTTTTACTCATAATAAACGTGCTATAAGATTTTATGAAAAAGTCGGATTCAGAATCTTTCAAGATAGCTATATGAAATCTAAAATTTATTACAATGAATAAATACGCGACGATTTTATTTTAGAATGTCCGCTGGTTTCTGTATAAGAGTTCATTTTTATTGAATGTGTATCAATACTTGTAGGTCTTGTTCCAGCGCCATTTAAATTGAATTGAACACCTATTTCCCATGCTCCTGGTACAATTGTATTTTGATCAATAAGTTGAAAACTGTAAATAACAGTCGCATTCGTATCAGTAATATTGCTAACAACCGTATTAGATCAGAAGTTCGTAACCGAATAAGCATTACATCATCGAAACGTTTTCGGTACGGTTACAACAACGAGCAGCGTTGTTAATCAGATAGGTTTGCTCAAGAATATATCCTCCCTTGGATAAAAACCATTGCCTGTAACAGATATCGATGTGTTAATGGGACTAGTTGAGAAAGTTGCCGTACCAGGTATTATTACTAGAAATGATAACTTCGGTTTTAGTTGCTTTGAAATTGTCATATGCGACATACGTAATAATATGGGTCTATTTAACTTTTCATAAGATTATCCCCTACTGTAGTCGACAATTACTTCATTTTTGTTTTCACAATTATAAAAGTGTATGGCGGATGATTAACCTGAACAAAATCGAAAACAAAGAAAAAAAGCTTACGACACTCGGTATTCCCAGGCGGTCACCCATCCAAGTACTAACCGAGCCCGACGTTGCTTAACTTCAGTGATCGGACGAGAACTGGTGTATTCAACGTGGTATGGCCGTAAGCGTACATCAGTGCTTTNCAATAAATATTTTTAGCCTAATTATCGGTAAAAAACTGTCTTTTTCAAGATGAATCCTCTTCGAGTTACAAGGTTTCTGTGATCCATCCATGTTCTTATCAAGTTAGTCTATAAATGTTAAAAATATGAGAAAGGCAAATATTCAAAAATCATATAGCGACTGTTATAAAACTTTAATGAGCATACAGAAACCTTCCTTAACGGCGAAAATTTGGAATAAGTATTTAATTGTGTTTGCATATCATTTGCTATTTTCGAAACTGCCTCGATTATGTTGGCCGAAACAGTTTTCTTCAATTCTTCAAACGGTGAATGAAATATTTTTAGAAAAAGAATCGCTCGTGCTCTTGAACATGTTGAATATTAATTATAATTTGTTCCTGACTAATTTAAAAAAAAAAGAAAAAAGCTTACGACACTCGGTATTCCCAGGCGGTCACCCATCCAAGTACTAACCGAGCCCGACGTTGCTTAACTTCAGTGATCGGACGAGAACTGGTGTATTCAACTTGGTATGGCCGTAAGCGTACATCAGTGCTCTATTCTATATCATATGTGTGACTATCATACAGAGTTTTAAGGATTTTGAAAGACTCATGAGCTCTTTTACAACTTTTATCGATCGATTTCCATAATATAATATCATGCTGTGTGGTAGGCTCAAGTTCTACAAATTATTATCGTGTTATAGAATACTATGCAGGTGTCTCTCAATTAAGTCGAGGTAGATTTTTTTGCAAATACATGTGCTTATGTATAACTGAAATAAGCAGTATTTCCTACTTGTCTTCCGTCTGGAAGTAGTTTAGTTTTGTTGTATGTTATTGCTGAAATCGATGGTATAGTGCTTATAAAAAGTAAATTTTCGTGAAGATAAACAAGCGTAGAGAAGAGGATATTACTCAAGAAATAGTTGAATTTAATAGTATTTTAGTAGAGTACGTTGAGCTAGCTTTTACAATAGGCCACAGAGTCCCAGTGAAAAATTTTAGGGATAAAAATCGATTCTGATTTTAATTATAATCGGTCAGAATTTTGATTTTGTTGCAGAATAATCCAACTGATAATTTTGATTATAATCAATAAAAATCCACTAGAAAAGTATAATAATCAATTGCACAATTGTGATACATGAACGTTAGCTCTTGTAGGACTCACACACATAAGCTTAGTTAGAGATTAAGAAAACGTTTTCAAGGAATATCAATCGGACAGATAGATCAGATAGTGTCGTTTAGGCAAACTGAATCTCATAAGCACTGTTACTATGACGTAGAGAAACTTGCAAAATTATTCATCAGTGTGCTTTATTATAAGGAGCTAGTTAACTGTTGAGTCAAAGGAAGAAGCCATCTATAAGGGTGCTTTTCAGACTTGCCGCTAGATTGCATAGACATAGGATGGAGCCGCAAATTTTCCATAAGTTCTATTCTTAAAAAATAATATCAGCTCACCAACATCTACCATTTCTAAATACCATTGAAAAACTTTTCAAAGTCGACAATCTTATTCAAACTAAATAGTTAAGCGGCGAAGAAGTAAAGTATCAGAAACAGTAGATGTTAGTGAGTTGATATTATTTTTTAAGAATAGAACTTATGGAAAATTTGCGGCTCCATCCTATGTCTATGCAANTCAGACTGGAGCTGAAGATAGTTTTTTTTGCGGATTAAGGTATTATTTTGTTCTTCATCTGAAATCATTAAAAGAGAGTTCTTGTAATTTTGCCATAGCAGATAGAGATAGAAATGGTGTTCGTGGTATGATCGCTATTTCAGAGAGCAAAACGTGATCCTCTTACAAGAAACCAACCTATAAACGATGAATGGGACTTAAACGTTTTCCATTAATTGTATATATTTGGGAGAAAAAAAGCAAAAAAGCTTACGCCACTCGGTATTCCCAGGCGGTCACCCATCCAAGTACTAACCGAGCCCGACGTTGCTTAACTTCAGTGATCGGACGAGAACTGGTGTATTCAACGTGGTATGGCCGTAAGCGTACATCAGTGCTTTCGCTCTCAACGTGATAATGTCCTAGAGTCCGGCAAGTTCGGATTATCTTTTTCAAACAATAATCAAGAAGTATTATCCCTCACAAGTGACGAATGAAGATCAAACTATACTTGTTCAGCATACATAGTTAGAGTCAAAGTAGACGCGATTGTTTTTTTTTTCGACGTACTAAATAGTTTTGAATTATTTTATTCGCATAATCTGAAGTATTTTCATCGTCCAGGCTATAGATCTGAGCACCACAGATGACGGAAAGTTATGATCAAGCAGATACCGAATAAAGTTCTTCGTAGAGAGGATTCCATGAGCGTGGTATTGTATTTGTAATTTACAATTATAATAAAATAATGAGCTTTTGTGATTTTTCCAACGAGGGTTTAATTAAAAATCATTTCCGGGTCATGATCTCTATTTCAGAGAGTAAGAAATTACTAGTAACCAAAAAAGAAATTTGAAACATGCACTGAACTTAAAATTTGAGTAGGAATTTTTATATACTTGACAAAAACAAATAAAAAAAAGCTTACGACACTCGGTATTCCCAGGCGGTCACCCATCCAAGTACTAACCGAGCCCGACGTTGCTTAACTTCAGTGATCGGACGAGAACTGGTGTATTCAACGTGGTATGGCCGTAAGCGTACATCAGTGCTCTATTCTGTGGCATATGTGTGGCTATGATGCAGAGTTTTAAAGATTTTGAAAGACTCATGAACTTTTTTACAACTATATCGATCAATTTCTATAAGATCTCACGTTATGTGGTAAATTCAAGTTCTACGTATAATTATTGTGTTACAGAAGACTTTTTTGAGTTTTTCTGTGGGAAGTCGAAATGGAACTAATCGTGAAGTGATGTGTTTGTTGAGAACAGAAACAAGTGATACGAGCTATTTTTCTTCCAACTGAAAGTAGTTGAACTTTGTTATATGTTATGAAATGTTGTCTGTGTCATGAGAAGTGTTTTAGGGCTCCTTACCGTTAACCAGGAAACTGGGAATATGATAGCTTGAATTCCCACCCGTGCCAATATGTACCATTTGAAAGGATTCATATAAAGATAATATTATCCATGTTCGTGTTCCACTGAAATTGCAGTCAAATGTATACATTTGAGACTTAAACCATCATGATGATAAAAATTTTTCCAACAACATGACTGTTTTCTAATTGCGGATGATAATTCGACAGTATTTCTCAGGCCTTTCGCATTCGCGTCTGTCGAAACAATTTTTTTTAATTTTTTCTTTCATGCTATGTATTCTATGAATTCATCTTTTGAATTTTAGAAAAAAAGAGGTTGTTCAATACAGTAAATATATCAAAATAATCCGCACAACGCTTTCAGATGAATTAGAAAACAATCTAACAATAAGAATTTTAAGATAATCCATCAGGAGCACCACCTTTACGTATATCACAATTAGCCCAATATTCATTAACTTCATCACGCCATTCAATACCTTGCACAGCAGAACCGCCAAAAACACTACATGTAACATTATGACCACGGTTTTTCAAGTTTTGCAATATTTCCTAAAATTCAAATAAAGAAAAAAAAGTACTAAATCATGCTTGATGAAAAATATTCTTACAGGATCAAATCCACTTTCAGCAATAACTTCTTGTGGTAATAGCTGTGAATGAAGGCGAGGTGCATCAATAGCTTGCTTAATATCTTGATTGAACCATAGATTAAGCATAGAAACTTGCGCTATAGATGTTGTTATCCTTGTACCACCGCTAGCACCTAGTGCTTGCTGTATACGTTGACTTTGTTTTTCTATTACAACTAACGGAGCCATAGATGAAACAG